CCTCCTGCTCCTCCTCCTCCTCCTTCTTCGAGGCCGTGATGGGGGGTCTCACCGTCCTGAGCATCAACACCATCATCTACTCCGTTTTCCACAGTCCCGCCGCCGAGGTTGGGAGCAGAATTACTGGCATAAACATGCGGTCAGACAGCGACGTCGTCGTCGTCGTCGTCGTCGTCGTCGTCGTCGTCGTTGTCGTCGTCTTCGTCGTCGTCGTCGTCGTCGTCGTCGTCGTCGTCGTCGCCGTAGCCGTCGGCGTCGTCGTCGTCGTCGTCGTCGTCGTCGTCGTCGTCGTCGTCGTCGTCATCGTCGGCGCTCTCCCCCTGTGCCCAATTCGAATTCGTTTGCACTGCACCCCAGCGCAATCTTGAACGCTGCTTGGACTTCTGGTGGCCGCCGACTTCAAAAAGCAATGTGCCGGTTCTGGCCCACCACGCTTCGTTGCGACACGGTATCCATTTCCCGGCGCCCCAGTTTCAACCTCCCGAGCTTTTCTGAGCCTCCCGCCCCGCGGAGCAGAGCGAAACGCTGTCCGCTCTCAAGGGATAGCGTGTCGCTGGTGGGGCCGCCAGGGCGATGCGCTGTCCAAAAGTTCCCGACCCTAACCTTTGGTAGCTCCGCGCGGATTCCTTGGATCGGCACTGGACCTCCCTGGCGGCGCCTCTGGCGTCGCCCTTGGCGCGCTCCGCGCGCCAGGGAGGGGGGCCCTGCGCCGGATCCAAGCGGTCCGCGCGGAGCTCCGAAAGCCAGTGCTCCTGCAGCCTTCTGTTCTTCGGGAGGTGCCTCCGGAGGACCCCTTCCACCAGTTCGCCTGGCTGCGCTCTCGCCTCCAGGCCGCGGCCGAGCAGAACCGCACGGTCTGGATCGTGGGGCACGTTCCCCCGGGCATAGAGACGTTCGGCTACTCCGAGCTGTGGAGGCCGTCCTACGTGGAGAGGTACCTCGGCATCGTCCAGGATCCCGTGCTCGGGCCACGGGTGGCGGCGCAGCTCTTCGGGCACGTGCACAAGGATCTCACTGAAGGCAGTAAATTTTTGGTGAAGGCACACTTTTCACTGAACCAGCGGTATCTGAAGGCAGTGCACTCCCTGAAAGCAGCCGTTTTTGACGGAACACGTTGTTGCACTCAGTGCGCGCGCCGAAGGCACACTTCTTTGCCTCCAGTGTTTTGTTCTGGGTGCCTTCAGGGGCCATAGGTGGAGCTCCCTATGGGGCCACGTTGGGGTGTGCCAAAATGGAGCGAGGCCGCCATGCGAGTTCCGCCACTGGGACCGTAGGTGGAGCTCCCTATGGGGCCACGAAGCGTGTGAGGGGTGTGCCAAAATGGGGCGGGGCCGCGCTATGGCCCTCGGGAAGCGGACATAAACGGCACAGGCATAAACTTGCGGAGCTTTAAGCGGATCTCTTCGACCTGCGCCTGGGCCTCTCCCCCGGGCGCCGCCTCTGGCGCCGCCCCTGGCGCCTTCCGCAGGTGGGGGAGGCGGGTGCGCCGCCGATCCAAGAAGACCGCGCGGAGCGCTGACAGTTTACGCTTGTGCCGCCTCTCGTTCTCTCGAAGGAGGAGCTCCGGGTCCTGCCCAATGCGCCCGTTGGAGCGGGCCCTATCATTCTCTCTGGGTCCATCAGCCCCATCTTTATGAACAACCCCTCGCTCCGCTTCGTCGAGTACGACCCAGTGACCCAGAGGCCCGTGAGGTATCAGGAGCTCTTCACAGAGATGCCCGAGGGCTCCCAGAGTCCAGAGTGGCGCTTCGGCTACGACCTCCTCGACGCCTACGGTGTGCTGAAGAAGGGGGTGGATGATGCTGGCGCTCTGCTTCACAGCCACGTCGAGTCGCTGGCGGACAGGCTGGAGGACGGCCTGGGTGACTGGGATGCCTACGCCAGCTGGTACGCGACACAAGTCCAGAACGTCGGCCCGCTGGACCTCATGGCGTGCAGCAGCACGGGCAAGGCGCTGAATCGCACTGCGCGGCTCGCGTGCCGCAAGCGGTACCGGTGTGCGATGACGGTGTCGACCCAGGAGCAGTTCAACGCGTGCGCGGGGGCCTCCGCGTGGCTGCGCGAGGGCCAGCGGCTCTCGGCCCCGCTCCTGCGGCAGGGGCAGGGCCCCTACTACCGCGTGCAGCGCGAGCAGTGGGCCGCGGAGCTCACCGGCGAGCGCGCGCGAGCGGAGCGGCAGAGGCAGGCGCTCGCCGGCGGCAGGTGGCGGGAGGTCGAGGCCTGGGCCTCGGGCAGCTCGGGCAGCATCCTCGTCTGACGTCCCGAGGGCGAGGGAGGCCAGGTCCGCTCGCGAGTTTCGGCCAGGGGGGGTGGGGGCAGCCGCGGCCGCAGCGTGGCAGGCGGCGGACAGCCACAGGGCCAGGGCATCGTCACGCGCAGCGCCCTCGAGGGCTCTCGGTGCTCCTCGCAGGAGGAGATCGAGCAGCTCTTGCCCTCCAGAGGAGGAGGAGGAGGGGGAGAATGAGGAGGAGGAGAGGGAGGAAGAGGAGGAGGAGGAGGCGGAGGAGGAGGAGGAGGAGGAGGAGGAGGAGGAGGAGGAGGAGGAGGAGGAGCTTGGGTGGGAGGAGGCGGCGGAGGAGAGGTGATGAGGCGAGGGGGGGAATGAGGAGGAGGAGAGGAGGCGGGGAGAGGCGGCGCCCTGCGTCTCGTCGGAGGCTCCGTTCTGGCTGGTGCGCGGCGGCGGTGCTTTAGTCGGCGTCGTGGGTGTGTTCCTGCGTTAGGCTATGCAACTGGCAGAGATCCCGAGAGTTTCAGCCTCCGTCACAGCATCTCGTGGAGGCTCCCGCACGGCTCGGCCGCCCGAGGCGCGACGGGTCCTGACAGCCGCGTGTCTCGCAGTGCGCCCGCCTGCCCCGCACGGCAGCATCTTTGCAGCCGCCGTCGACAAAAAGGGACCTCCGTATGGTCTGCGTCTCCTCCCTCTCTCCCGCCCCCCGCGGCCGCCCTCCGGCCCCTTCTCTTCGCTTGCAGCCGGACGATTGCGTGGTGTGTGCCCGGGCCCGGCCCCGTAGAGCGCGCGCGCGGCTCGCCTCCGCCGCGCTGCGACGGCAAAGTGGTCCGTGTGACTGGGGCCCCGTAGCTTTTAGCGGAAGAGGTTCGCTCTCGCCCTGCAGATCAAAAAGTGATTGGGGCCCCGCTGCCTCACCGGCCCTCTGGACATCTCCTCTCCTGTCGCGGGCGCAACGCCGCCGACAGCGCTGTGCCGGGGCCCCGTCGCCGAACGGGAGGCGCTGCATGTTTTGACCGAGCCCTCGTCGCGGCGACAAGTGTGTGCCGGCACACGCGGTCGAGAACTGCACGCCTGCAGCGCGCTTCTCTCCCTTGCCGCGCGCTTATACTTCTCCTCCTCCTCCTCCTCCTCCTCTTCCTTCTCCTCCTCCTTCTCCTCTTCTTCCTTCTCCTCTTCCTTCTCCTCTTCTCATCTCCTCTTCTTCCTCCCCTCCTCCTCCGCCCTCCGCCCTCCGCCCTCCGCCCTCCGCCCTCCTCCTCCTCCTCCTCCTCCTCCTCCTCCTCCTCCTCCCGTCTCCCCCTCATCCTGTGCCTGCTGAGCCCAGTTCGGCTCCGTTGCATCCCACGGCTGCCCCCGAACGCGGTGAGGACCTCCCGCCGCTGCGGCCGGGAGGGTGCGCGTGCACGCGTCGGCGCCCCTCCCTCCTCCCCTCTGCAGGGAGGGGAGGTGATGGGGCAAGAGATTCAAAGACAAGTTTTTGATTTCTCTCTGGATTCAGAAAACTGGATTTTGAAGTCAAAAGCGGGTGCGTGGAGGAGGGGGGTGGAGGAGGGGACCCCCGAACGCGGTGAGGACTCCCGCGGCTGCGGCCAGGACAGTGCGCGTGCACGCGTCGGCACCCGTCCCTCCTCTTCTCTGCAGGCAGAGGAGGGGAGGGAGGAGGAGAGGAGGGGGGTGCGTGGAGGAGGGGGGTGGAGGAGGGGGGGTCTGCCGCCGTGGTTTTCCGTGGTGATGGATGCATGGTGCCGTTACGGCTGCAGTCAAAGGTCAGCGATCAGTCTAGTGAGTCTAGTGCCAGTTCGTGGCGTTCGCTGACGCTCGTGTGACGCGTCTCGTGTTTGCCGCTTGTTCTTTCAGCTTTCTTCCTTCTTCTCACAAGCAAGTGCGCTGAAATAGAGAGAGAGAGAGAGAGAGAGCGAGACAGAGAGAAAGAGAGAGGGAGAGAGATAGAGAGAGAGAGCCAAGGATCAATATGAAACGTGCCTGACGTTGCTGAAACAAAAGCCCAGTAGAAGTCTGAACATGTACTCGTATCCTGTTCCGCTGTGTTCAGTGGTGGTGTCGCTGGAGACGCAGTTCTTTTTTACATCTCGGGTCCCGTGATGTCCCACTGTGGCGTCGCAGGGGTTTCCGCAACGGTGCATCGTGGTGTCCCATTGGGGTACTGGTGCCGCTGAAGCTCCAACCGACAGTGTAGCTGTTGTTCAGTCCGATGCCGCCGTGCGCCCAAGCCAGAGCTAAAGCCCAACCTCAGGGAACACCACCCGCACACCGTGCAGCAACCACGCGAGAGCGAAGGCCCTTCCTTTGCTTCCCCTCTCCTTCTCTTTCGTCCCCTCCCCTTCCTGCCTCTCCCTCCTCCTCCCCCTCCCGTTCCACGACCTCCTCTTCCCTCTGCGCCCCGAACGCGCCGCCTTTCCCCACCCCTTCCGTCCCCTCCCCCGCTCCATTCCCCAGCCCCGGGAGGCCATGGCGTTCGTCGACAAGAAGGAGTCTGGCGTGAAGACCGTGGTCAAGGGCTTCGTCACCGGAGGCCTGACATGTGGGCGGGGGGGGGTGGGTGGGTCCGGCGGCGCACGCGTGCTGGCAGAATCGGGATGGGGTGGGGCGCGCTCGCCGCGAGCAGGGCGTGGTCGGGACTCCCACTGCCGCTGGGACTCCGAGGGCGTGCTCCGGGCGGCCCGCTGTGAGACGGGACGGAGCGGATGGAGTGGCCGTGCGGGTGGGGTGGGCGGCCCGCTGGCCGGACGGGACGGGGTGGGTCGGGCGAGGGAGCGTGCCCACCTCCACCGCCACGCCTCCACGGGCGTGTCCAGGTGCCCGAGGCGGATCCGCCACCGTGCCCGCGAGCTTACCCCGCGTGGCGGTCATCCAGTAAGCCGTCACATGCGACACCCCTCGTTTCCACGTCTTGAGGAGCCCTGATGAGGACTAGTTGGGCCGTCTTGGGGCTGTCTTGGGCTCTTGGGGGTCCCTTGGGGACATCTTGGGCCGTGTTGGGGCGCTCTGGGGTCGTTTTGGGGCCTGTTTGAGCCGTCTTGGAACTCCCTTTGCTGATCGGGGGTCTCTTGGGGCCGTCGTGGGGCCTTCTTGGGCCATCCAGGGGCCCTCTTGGGCCGTCTTGGGCCCCTCCAGAGCCCCTCTTCGGCCAGCTTGGAGCTCTATCGGGGCCGTCCTGGTCCGACTGGCGGCCATCTTGGGGCTCTCAGCGGGTTCTTTGTTTTGGGTCCTCGAAGACCTCAGGTGGACCGATCTTCGACCTACGAGCGTGGAGCGCGAGAAACATTGAACGACAACCAGAGATTACATCGCTTTTGGCGTCTCGAGCTGTCTCGGGGTCTCTCGGAGACCTCTCGGGATCTACGGGGCGCCTCTTAGGGACCCGTGGGGCGCGTCATGGGGCGCTGCTGGGGGCCCTCGTGGCGGCCGTGGGTGGCCTCCCCGAGCCGTCTTGGAAGCCTTGGCGATCCTTGGGGGAAGCCGTGGGGGAGAGTCGGCCAGGGCACGCGGGGAGGTGTGGTGAGTGGTGGGGTGACCCTTAGAGAAGAGTTGCAACTTTTGGCCAGCGCGGCGGGGCAGACTGGCTGCACCGGCGACAGAGCTGAAGGGGGGCACCGAGAGGCGAAGCGCCCAGCGTGCAGGAGAGGGTAAAGGACGGACACGGCGGCCGCGGAGGCGGAGGGAGGAGGGGGCACTCGGAGGCGGAAGGCTTCCGACGCGAGCGGGCTGGCGCGGCCGGCCTCGTCGGCGGGGACCCTGGCAGCAGCCAGGCCGCAGCGCCGGGGCACGCACGGGCGAGGACGAGGCCCAGGACGCCTCGGGGAGGGAGAGGAGGGATGGGTGGGAGGGAGTGGAGGCTGGGAGGGAAGGGGCGGTGCAGGGCGTCCGAAGGCAAGAGCGTGAGGGAGGATGGGGAGGGGAGGGGCGGACGGAGGGAGCGCATGGCGGGAGGGGTCGGGAGGGCAGGGTGCGGGTTCCGCGGGCCCTGTCGGCTCGCCCGCACACCGGAGGCGGGCGGGCTCCTCGGGGTCCGGCGGCGAGTCGGGTCGGGCAGTCTGGCCAGGCGGGGGGGCCAGGACAGGGCTGCAGTGGAGGCCCATGCCAGGAAGCACCTTGCTTGCCTCCAGGGGGCCCTGGGTTTCTTGGGCTTCGATGGCTGCGTGCTGTGGAGAGCGCGACGTCCCCACACCAGAGATCAGTGTGGACGCCCTGGGGTCTCAGGGCTGGGTTTCTCGTGGAAGGTTTCTTGTGGGCGAGCCCCTACGGTGGGGGCGTTGGTTAAGGAATGTGCCCAGGAGGTTGCAGACCCTGGAGGATTCCTTGTCTGATGAGGGCGGCGGTGATGTCCATGACCGAGTCTCGATTGGAGATCCGCTGGCCTCCAGACCCTGGACTCCTTCTGGTTCCCTATCCAACGCCCCCACCGGGCTGCAAACCGCTCCCGAGCGCTTCAGGACCACTCCCGGCTGCGCCTGGCAGCTGGCGCGTCAGACGCAGGCGGGCTCTCGCAGTGGAGGGCTGCCCGAGCAGATCCTCCTCCTCGGCGGCGGGCCCGGGGGGGGTCTTCGGTATTCGGCTTCGAAGCTTCGGTTTTCGGTCTTCGAAGTTTTCGAAGTTCTCGAGGCTTTCCAAGTTTTCGAGGTTTTCGGTCTTGGGAGCCTCCTCCTCCTCCTCCTCCTCCTCCTCCTCCTCCTCCTCCTCCTCCTCCTCCTCCTCCCCCTTCGCCTCCTCCTCCCCCTTCTTCTCCCCTCCATCCTCCTCCTCCTCCTCCTCCTCCTCCCCTCCTCCTCCTCTCCTCCTCCTGGTCCCGATTTGGTTTTCCGAGTTCTCTGTCGTTCCCGTTGGCCCTCGGCGGTTTCCCGACCTCGGGGCGTGTTCCACCGTCTGCGCCGCTGCGCCTCGCCGAGAGCGCTTCGGGGGTGCCGGGATCGCCCCCGGGCGGCCCCCGGGGAGCCGAGTCGTGAGCCAAGAGCCACCAGGCGTCCGAGAGGGCTTCTCAGAGGTCTCGGAAGGCCTCCAGCCTTCTGTGGGGGAGCGAAGAATGACATAAGCATAACAGCTCGGAGGTCTGCGCGGATTTCTCGGATCGGCGATGGACCCAGCGCGCCAGGGGGTCCAGCGCGGGCCCGAGACAGTCGCGCGGACCTCCGAATTTTTGTGTTCGTGTCATGGCTCGTTTCCCTGTTCTGAGATGTCGTGCTCCTGTCGAAGGCGTCCCTTTGCAAGAACTTGGGCTTCGGCACCGCCTGTATCCGAGGCTATGCCGCCTCTCGGGCTCGCTCTGAGGCTCCGCCGCTTCCTCCCTCCTCTTCTCTGCCCAATTCAAGCTTCGCGCGGCCCGCTTAGCTTCGACCGGAAGAGTTGCGCTCTCGACCCGCGGATTAAAAAAAACCCTGTTCTGAGATGTCGTCCGAGCCCTCCCCGAAGACGGGGGCTGCTCCTCCGAAGGCCCGGGGGCGCCTCCGAGAAGGCCCGAGGGCCCGAGGCCTTCTCGGACATCCCGCCGCCCTCTGAGAAGGCCTGCCTCCTCTCGCCTCCCCCCCCGGGGCGCGCCGCGGATTTGCAGCCTTGAGGGTTTCCCTCCTCCTCCTCCTCTTTCCTCCTCCTCCTCCTCCTCCTCTTTCCTCCTCCTCCTCCTCCTCCTCCTCCTCCTCC